TAGACTATAGACTAGACTATAGACTAGACTATAGACTAGACTATAGACTAGACTATAGACTAGACTATAGACTAGACTATAGACTAGACTATAGACTAGACTATAGACTAGACTATAGACTAGACTATAGACTATAGACTAGACTATAGACTAGACTATAGACTAGACTATAGACTAGACTATAGACTCGACTATAGACTCGACTATAGACCAGACTACAGACTAGAATACACACTATATTAAAGACTAGACTATAGAAAAAACTAGAGTAGCCTATAGATTGGACTATAGACTAAACTAGAGTAGACTATAGACTAGATTTGACTTAAGCCGTTTGATTTAGCTTTGCGACCATTTAGACATACTGGACGTATGATTAATATTAATTCATAGGTTAATTTACAAAATTGTGCATAGCTTGATAACAGAATGACTGATTTTTAAAATGTTGATTTTGTATTAAAACTAAGACTTACGGCTACAACTTTTCTAAAACATTTTCCTTTAGTCGCTTTGTTTTAACCAATTTCTTTTTAAAAAGCTCTTTCAATTTCCAAAAACATTTTTAACAATTCTTTATGTGTTAAATGCTTTTAAGTTATAGTTAAAAGCAATGCATTTTACTTCTTTAAATGTTTTCTTAGACATTAAATATGCTTTTGTTAATGTAATGTTATTGTAGTTAAAGTTTTACTAGAATTTATGTCCATTTTTAAAAGTTCTAAATTGTTGCTTTTCTATTTACGTTTGAAAAGAATATAAGAAAGCACTTAAGTTGAAAACAACCTATGAATTGTTGTAAATAAAGTAAAAGGAATTAATTTACTTGTTTTGTAAATATTTCTAAAAAGTTTAATTGCAGTAAATAACAGTAAAGGTAATAATAATGGATTCCACATGCATTAAATTTTAACGAGGGTATTGTGTTAGATTTTAGCTTTAATATGCCATTAAAATTTTAAAAATCGGCTTATAATGAAAGTAGTTATAACTAAAAAACTTTTTTAGTTTTACAGTGCGTATGATTAATATTAATTCACAGGTTAGGTGACAAAATTGTCTATAACTTGGCTAGTTGTGGGGGGATTTTAAAAATTTAAAAGGGATTTAATAGCTTGGACTTAGGACTACAATATGTGTTACAAATATTTCTTGTAGCTACTTTATAGGTTCTAAAATTTGCTGCATATCTTAGGGCTGGTTTAAATTTAATTTTAATTTTTCTTTTTTTTGGGTTTCTATTTAAAAGCTTTGAACTGTTTTATTTTGTTTTCTTCTTTAAAACTACAAAATGCTTAATTGTATGGTTGAATCAGGCTGGGTTTTTGTTAAAATTAAGTAGAAAATGTTTTACTTAAAATATGGTTTAACTGGTATTTGCCATGTGGCAATGAGAAAGTAAAAATGCAGGTTTTATTTTCCTGTTCTTGGAAAAGTGCTGATATTGCAAACAAGCAATATATTCTTTCAAAAGAAATTCTGGCTTTTTTTCTCCTGAAAAACTTAATAAATTTTTCACGAAAACCCAAAAGAAAGAGTAGAAACAAGGAAATGAGTTTTATGGTCCATAAGTATTGATGAAGAAGAACAAAACAGGTGCATTTTCTTCTACAAATTGCAAACAAAAGAATATAAATATCTTTGCTTGTTCTGGTTTAACAGGTGTTGATGAAATTTATATTCATGGTTTCATGGCTAAAGTGTAATATAGACTCATGACTTAAAGATGAGATCTTTATTTACAGCGTTTTTTTACAATTTGAACATTTCTTTCAATATACTTTGGCTGTGTGCAACATTTTAATACTCTGCCAACTGTCTGCTTCAATTTGTCTTAATGCCAAATTTTTTTTCTCCCGTTCTTTGGTTCAACTTTATACATTTCCATATCATTGTCACAATGAGTTTGCCAAATTTTACAAATGTTAAGGTAAACCTTTAAGCTTAAAGTGGATTTAGCATTGGTTGCCTTGTAAGAACAAATTTATTACAAAATAATAACAATGACTATACATTTCCAAGTGAAATTTTAACAAAAGTTTAAAGAAAACACAAAAAAATTGTTAATAATGTTTTAGTGCAACAGTACGTATGATTAATATTAATTCACAGGCAAAGTCACAAATTTGTCTATAACTTAAAAACTTACCAACCGATTTTTAAAAAGTGAAAAACCTATAAAAGCTAAGACTTAAGGCTACCATATCCTATCACAACTAAATATCTCAAAGTTTCAGTAACCATATATAAACCCTATTAACTTGTACAGTGTATTTCAAATTTACTTATTTTAGTCAAAGAATTTTCAAGATTTATATGTCAAATTATGTTTTTTGTAATATTTTTGTGTTCTAATTTAAATTTGTTTATATATTATTCATTAACATTCACATACCTATATATCCTTTTACTACTAGTTCATTTTGCCTTGACCTTTAATACCGCAAAAGGAATATGTGGCTTGTTGATATTTCGGTTTGATAAATGACAAATATGTTTCCCTTCACACAAATCAAAAATGTTATAAAACCTATAAATTTTAAAACCATGTGTCTGCTGTGGTTTTGTGGCATATACATATAGTTTTGTGTGTTTCATAAATTACCATAAATTATCAAAAATAATGATAATACCTCAAGCATGAGCATTCGAGTGACACTGGGATATTTTTAAGTGGAGACAGCAGGGAGTGAAACGTATTATTTCTTGTAGTTTAAAGTCCAGTTCAGTTCAAAGTATAACTGAAAATATTGTTAGGAGTTTAGTTCAAAGTTAAGTATAAAGTCTAATTAAAGTGTAGGTCAAAGTCTAGCAAGAGTCTAATGCAAAGTCTAGTTTCATGTTTAATACAAAGTCTAGTTCAAAGTGTAATTTAGAGTCTAGCTTAAAGTCTATCTCAAAGTGTAGTTCACAGTCTAGTTCAAAGTCTAGTCCAAATTCTAGTTCAACGTCTAATTCAAAGTCTTGTTCAAAGTCTAATTCAAAGTCTAGTTCAAGGTCTACATCAAAGTTTAGTTCAAAGCCTTGTTCAGAGTTTAGTTCAAATTCTAGTTCGAAGTTTAGTTCAAGGTCCGGTTTAAAGTCTAGTTCAAATTCTAATTCAAAGTCTAGTTCAAGGTCTAGTTTAAAGTCTAGTTCAAAGTCTAGTTTAAAGTCCACTTTAAAATCTAGTACAAAGCTTAGTTCAAAGTCTAGTTCTACGTCTAGTTCAAAGTCTATTTAAAACACTAGTTCAAAGTCTAGTTTAAAACATTGTCCAGAGTATAGTTCAAAGTCTGATTCATAGTCTTGTTAAAACTCTAGTTCAAAGTCCATTTAAAACTCTAGTTCAAAGTCTAGTTCAGTCTAGTTCAAAGTTTATTTCAAAGTCTAGTTGAAACTCTAGTTCGAAGTTTAGTTCAAAGTCTAGTTCAAAGTCTAGTTCAAAGTCTATTGCAAAATCTAGTCCAAAGTCTTGTTCAAAGTTTAGTTTAAAGTCTAATTCAAAGTCTAGTACAAAGTCTAGTTCAAAGGCTAGTTCAAGGTCTAATTCAAAGTATAATTCAAAGGCTAGTTCAAAGACTAGTTTAAAGTCTAGTTCAAAGTCTAGTTCAAAGTCTAGTTCAAAATCTAGTTCAAAGTCTAGTTCGAATTCTAGTTCAAAGTTCAGTTCAAAATCTAGTTCAAAGTCTAGTTCAAAGTATAGTTCAAGGCCTATTTCAAAGTCCGGTTCAAAGTCTAGTTTAAATCCAAGTTCAAAGTTTAGTTCAAAATCTAATTCAAAGTCCTGTTCTAAGTCTAGTTCTAAGCCTAGTTTAAAGTCTAGTTTAAAGTCTAGTTTAAAGTCTTGTTTAAAGTCTAGTTTAAAGTCTAGTTTAAAGTCTAGTTTAAAGTCTTGTTTAAAGTCTAGTTTAAAGTCTAATTTAAAGTCTAGTTTAAAGTCTAGTTTAAAGTCTAGTCATAGTCTAGTCATAGTCTAGTCATAGTCTAGTCATAGTCTAGTCATAGTCTAGTCATAGTCTAGTCATAGTCTAGTCATAGTCTAGTCATAGTCTAGTCATAGTCTAGTCATAGTCTAGTCATAGCCTAGTCATAGTCTAGTCATAGTCTAGTCATAGTCTAGTCATAGTCTAGTCATAGTCTAGTCATAGTCTAGTCATAGTCTAGTCATAGTCTAGTCATAGTCTAGTCATAGTCTAGTCATAGTCTAGTCATAGTCTAGTCATAGTCTAGTCATAGTCTAGTCATAGTCTAGTCATAGTCTAGTCATAGTCTAGTCATAGTCTAGTCATAGTCTAGTCATAGTCTAGTCATAGTCTAGTCATAGTCTAGTCATAGTCTAGTCATAGTCTAGTCATAGTCTAGTCATAGTCTAGTCATAGTCTAGTCATAGTCTAGTCATAGTCTAGTCATAGTCTAGTCATAGTCTAGTCATAGTCTAGTCATAGTCTAGTCATAGTCTAGTCATAGTCTAGTCATAGTCTAGTCATAGTCTAGTCATAGTCTAGTCATAGTCTAGTCATAGTCTAGTCATAGTCTAGTCATAGTCTAGTCATAGTCTAGTCATAGTCTAGTCATAGTCTAGTCATAGTCTAGTCATAGTCTAGTCATAGTCTAGTCATAGTCTAGTCATAGTCTAGTCATAGTCTAGTCAAAGTCTAGTCATAGTCTAGTCATAGTCTAGTCATAGTCTAGTCATAGTCTAGTCATAGTCTAGTCATAGTCTAGTCATAGTCTAGTCATAGTCTAGTCGTAGTCTAGTCATTGTCTACTCATAGTCTAGTCATAGTCTAGTCATAGTCTAGTCATAGTCTAGTCATAGTCTAGTCATAGTATAGTCATAGTCTAGTCATGACCAATATGAAAAATTAATTATGTATATATTTTTTACAAAATAAATTTTTACAAAATTTCGTTTTTTTTTATTAAAATTTGTTTAAACAAATATTGTATAATTTATCTTTTTAAAAAAGTTCCTAATATTGACTACTAAAACCATCTGGATGCATTATATAATATTGATTATTTAACTACTTTTGTTTCTTGCTCTTGGACACCTTCTTTCCAGCGGCCTTACCAGCTCCCTTGCCACGACAGCACAACAGTTTACACAAACCCACCAAAACAGCAACAACACCAAAGACTATACTTAAAAGGAATGCAATAACATCTACGGAATACAATTGCCACCAGGGCATATTTATGGCGGGCGACTGCATATGCTTGGCACCATTATGTCTTATAACATAATCCACCCAGTAACGCACCAATTGGCGAGGAGTCATGGGTCTATCACGATATAATTCCGAGAATTTTTGTACATTTTGGGTGTAAGAAGGATTTTCCAAAACCTCTACCACAGCATTTCTAAAGGCCTCTTCACTGAAGCGAGCATATTCCAAACCAAGACCAAAGCCAGACTTTACGACATTGGCTATATTCGAGTGTTGATCACCAAAGAAGGGTATGCCCACCATGGGTACACCATGATATTGGGATTCCACCACACTGCCCATACCACCATGAGTTATGAATAGCTTGACTTTGGGATGAGCCAATATATCATCTTGAGGCAACCAAGAGCGATAAATCATATTTTTCGATTGTCCGGGGAAATCGGAATCACCCCATTTAAGTAAAACGGTATAGGGTAGTTTAGAGAGTACATTAAAGATCATTTTAGCTTTGTCTTTCGAGAGATTAGAACCCTGGACATTGGTACCCAAACTAAAGAAGATGACACCTTTATCGGAAGACTCAATAATTTCAGCCAAATCTTGTGGTAGAGGATCGGGTTTTTCTTTGATTTGTATGCCTCCGATTTCAATGAGAGCGGGTACATTGGGTCTTATGGGGCCCTGGCTAAAGTGATGATTGGTTAAGACTAGAGAAACGTTTTTGTAGACCTCTTCCAAGGGAGGATAACGATCGGCGGGGAAGTTGTATCTAGAAAGAGAAAAACGGGAAAATGTTATTAAATGTAATGAAAAAGTTTAACATATTTTAAGGATATATAAAATTAAAAAAGTTAAGTCTACTTTAGGGGATTTTAAAGAAATCAAATTTACTGCAGTAGTTAAGGGATTAAAATAGATTTTTTATTGCCCTTTGTATTATATTTGTAAACAATTTAACTTGTAATTATTTACTGATAAGACTTTTAAATTGTTTAAACAATTTTTTATTGTTAAATTTATTAGTTTAATAACAATCACTCAAAAAAAATTATTATAAATTCTTGATATTGCTGATTCATTATGACTTAAACTGGAAAGAAACATGTTCAAAATTTTAACAACAAAAAAATGTGTTTAAACATGACTTGATTTTTTAATGGGAACATAGTGACAAGTAATTTTGTGTTCAAGCTAAAACACAATGCAGGCGTTAAAGCTACAAATACGTAAAGTTTTAAAATAAATATTGAAACAAAATTTTTAAATACTTTTTTTCAAGAAAATTTATTTATACAAATATGAATAATGAAAAAAACGGAAATTTTATTGAATTTTTCTAATTTCGAAATTAAGTTCGAAAATTCGAACATCATTAAAACTTGTTTGATACTAACAAAAATGGTAAATAAATCGATATTTTTAATTAAGAAACCAAAAATTATTCTTAAAAAACTTATTTTAAGACTTTTTCTAATTTCGAAATTAAGTTCGAAAATTCGAACATCATTAAAACTTGATTAATACTCACAAAAATGGCAAAAATCGATATTAATAATAAAGATATACAAAATTTGTCTTAAAACTCTTAATTTTACACTTTTTTATAATATCGAAATTAAGTTCGAAAATTCGAACATCATTAAAACTTGTTTGATACTAACAAAAATGGTTTAAAAATCGATATTATTAATAAAGATATACAAAATTTGTCTTAAAACTCTTAATTTGAGTGTTTTTTCTAATTTCGAAATTAAGTTCGAAAATTCGAACATGGTTAAAACTTGGTTGATACTAACAAAAATGGTTTAAAAATCGATATTAATAATAAAGGTATACAAAATTAGTCTTAAAAATCTTAATTTGAGAGTTTTTTCTAATTTCGAAATTAAGTTCGAAAATTCGAACATCATTAAAACTTGATTAATACTAACAAAAATAGTAAAAAATCGATATTATTAATAAAGATATACATAATTTGTCTTAAAACTCTTAATTTGAGACTTTTTTATAATTTCGAAATTAAGTTCGAAAATTCGAACATCATTAAAACTTGTTTAATACTAACAAAAATGGCAAATAAATCGATATTATTAATAAAAATATGTAAAATTAGCTTTAAAACTCTTAATTGGAGATTTTTTTCTAATTTCGAAATTTAGTTCGAAAATTCGAACATCATTAAAACTTGAATAATACTAATAAAAATGGTAAATAAATCGATATTATTAATAAAGATATACAAAATTTGTCTTAAAACTCTTAATTTGAGACTTTTTTCTAATTTCGAAATTAAGTTCGAAAATTCGAACATGGTTAAAACTTGTTTGATACTAACAAAAATGGTTTAAAAATCGATATAATTAATAAAGATATGTTAAGTTAGCTTTAAAACTCTTAATTTGAGACTTTTTCTAATTTCGAAATTAAGTTCGAAAATTCGAACATCATTAAAACTTGTTTGGTACTAACAAAAATGGTGAAAAGATCAATATTATTAATAAAGATATACAAAATTTGTCTTAAAAGTCTTAATTTGAGAATATTTTCTAATTTCGAAATGAAGTTCGAAAATTCGAAAATGGTTAAAACTTGTTTGATACTAACAAAAATGGTTTAAAAATTGATATTATTAATAAAGATATACAAAATTAGCTTTGAAACTCTTAATTTGAGACTTTTTTCTAATTTCGAAATTAAGTTCGAAAATTCGAACATCATTAAAACTTGATTAATACTAACAAAAATTGTAAATAAAACGATATTATTAATAAATTTATACAAAATTAGTCTTAAAACTCTTAATTTGAGACTTTTTTCTAAGTTCGAAAATTCGAACATGGTTAAAACTTGATTAATACTAACAAAAATGGTAAAAAATCGATATTATTAATAAAGATATACAAAATTTGTCTTAAAAGTCTTAATTTGAGACTTTTTTCTAATTTCGAAATTAAGTTCGAAAATTCGAACATGGTTAAAACTTGTATTTATTTCGCAAAAATTGAAGAAAATTAAATATTTTATATATATTTAACAAGACTATTACCAAAACACCTATTTTGAGACTTTTTTCTAATTTCGAAATTAAGTTCGAAAATTCGAACATGTTTAAAACTTGTATTTATTGGCACACAATGAAGTAACTTAAATCTTTTCTATATATAAAACAAAAGCTATTCCTAAAATTCCTAGTTTGAGAGTTTTTTCTAATTTCGAAATTAAGTTCGAAAATTCGAACATTGTTAAAAACTCTTTCTAAAAGCAAATTTTTTGTAAAAATTATATATTTTTAAGTTATAAATCATTAGTATTAAACAAAACACTTATTTTGGGACGTTTTTCAAATTTCGAAATTAAGTTCGAAAATTCGAACTTTGTAAAAATATGAATTTATTGCAAAAAATTTTCTGAAAAATTTATATAAATTATTTATTAATCAGAAGTACAGCTTTAATACACATTTTAAGTGATTTTCTTAATTTCGAAATTAAGTTCGAATATTCGAACATTGTTAAAAACTCTTTTAAAAAGCTAATTTTTTGTAAAAATTATATATTATTAAGTTATAAATCATTAGTTTTAAACAAAACATTTATTTTGGGACTTTTTCTAATTTCGAAATTAAGTTCGAAAATTCGAACTTCGTAAAAATATGAATTTATTGCAAAAAATTTTCAGAAAAATTTATTTAAATTATTTATTTAGCAAATGTGCAGCTTTAATACACATTTGAAGCGATTTTCTTAATTTTGAAATTAAGTTCGAAAATTCGAACATTGTTAAAAACTCTTTTAAAAGCAAATTTTTTGAAGAAATCAATTACTTTCCATATTTAAATTAATAATATTAAAAAAATCAACATTTTTTGCAAAATTTTCGAACTTCGAAATTAAGTTCGAAAATTCGAACATTAAGAAAAAAGTTGGATTGTTATATTTTTACTAATAATAATTGAAAATAAATTAAAAAATAAAATTTTTAACACTATTTTCCGAATTTCGAAATTAAGTTCGAATTTTCGAAAATTAACTAAAATTTGTAAAATTAATAAAAAAAAAAACGCCCAATAACCAGAACAAAAATAATAAACTAATAAATTTTTGCAAACTCATCATTGCAGTGACATAATAATAAACAGCAGCACGTGCCGCAACTGGTGCCTATCTATTATTGCGCATTTCTACTATAACTATTTCTATTGTTTGAGCGTTAGCACCACAACAGGTAGCTCTTGATCATATTAATTTATTTTTATTATTATATTTATTTTACTCTTTTTGTTTTTGTTATTTAAAACAAATATATTTACACGCAAATTTAAGTGGCAGTTTGCGGGCAAAAACCATATATTACTTGAGAACATGATGTGCATGTTTAGCAACTTTATCTATCCCCTTTTCTCAACTCAAACAAAGTAAATAAAGGTTGAAATATTGACCTTTTAATAAATTTCAATGTTTTTTGTTTGTTATTTCAATTAATTGCATTTATTGTGATTAAAAATAAAGAGAATTGTCTAAATAATATTTAAGAGAGTTTTTAGTTGAAGAGATAGAGAGAGAGATCAAGAAAACAAGTATTTACCCATTAAGAACAGCATTACTGTTAAACATTTGCGCTACCCACATACTATTTAAGGGATTTTTATACATTTTTCAAAAAAGTAGTATTTCTACTACCTTTTTAAAAATTCATTTAACTTGTTAAAAAAGCTTTTAAACATTAATTTATTGATTTATCTTAGAATTATTTTGATTTTTAAACGTTTTTTAAAAAAGTAGTATATCTACTACTTTTTAAAAATGGAATATAAAGGCCTAAAAGTGTTTAAAAACCTATACAAAACATCATTCTAAAGACTTTACAAGCAAATATTTTAAGTTTTACACTTTTTTCAAAAAAGTAGAATTTCTACTACCTTTTTAAAAATTTTAAATCCCGCAAAAATAGGTTTTAACCATTAATTTATTGATTTTATATACAAATATACACGTTTTTGCAACTTTTTTAAAAAAGTAGTATTTCTACTACCATTTAAAAATGGAAAATAAGGAATAGAAAGTGATTAACATTTATATAAAACATCATTATAAAGATTTAGAGGCATAAATTTAGGTTTTTACACTTGTTTGAAAAAGTAGTATTTTTACTACCTTCTAAAAATTTAAAATAATGTGCTAAAAGTGATTAAAACTTACATAAAACATCATTCTAAAGAATTTAAAAACAAAAATTTTGATTTTTACACTTTTATAAAAAAAGTAGTATTTCTACTACCTTTTTAAAAAATTGTAAATTCCGTAAAAATGAGTTTTAAACATTAAGTTATTGATTTCACATATAAATATAACGATTTTTGCAACTTTTTTGAAAAAAGTAGTATATCTACTACTTTTTAAAAATGGAAAATAATGGATAGAAAGTGTTTAAAACTTACACAAAACATTATTCTAAAGACTTCGATTTTTACATTTTGTCCAAAAAGTTGTATTTCTACTATCTTTTTAAAAAATCGTAAATTCTGTAAAAATTAGTTTTAAACATTAATTTACTGATTTCACATACAAATATAACGATTTAATGGATAGAAAGTGATTAAAATTTATATAAAACATCATTATAAAGATTTAGAGACATAAATTTTGGTTTTCACTCTTTTTGGAAAAAAGTAGTATTTCTACTACCTTTTAAAAATTTAAACTAATGTACTAAAAGTGTTTAAAACTTACATAAAATATTATTCTAAAGACTTTAAAAACAAAAATTTTG